AGGGGTATCGCTTGTGGGATCCCACTGCCCTCAAAGTGATCATTAGTAGGAATGTTATCTTTGTAGAAGATAAACTACAAAGAAAAGAAGAAGATGGTAGTGTTGAAAAGTCAGAGACTATAAAGATACATGTGGAAAAGGAGTTTGAACAAGAAGATTCTTCTAAAGTAGAACCAGCACATGATGAACAAGAACCAGAGAGTTCTGAAGCTCCAACAACTCGTCAATCAGATCGTGTAAGAAGACGTCCTAATTGGCACTCAGATTATGTTATAGAAGGTAATATTGCATATTGCCTTTTAACAGAGGACGGTGAGTCATCAACATACCAGGAGGCAATAAACAATTCAGATGTTTCACTGTGGATGATGGCTATGCAAGAAGAAATCGAAGCCCTTCATAAAAATAATACATGGGACCTTGTGCCACTACCACAAGGAAGGAAACCAATTGGTAACAAATGGGTCTTTAAAATCAAGCGAAATGGTGACGATCAAGTTGAGAGGTATCGTGCAAGACTTGCGGTCAAAGGATATGCTCAAAAAGAAGGTATTGATTTCAATGAAATATTTTCTCCTGTGGTTCGACTAACAACAGTTTGAGTAGTTTTGGTGATGTGTGCTACATTGAACTTACATCTAGAGCAGCTAGATGTTAAAACAGCTTTTCTTCATGGAAATCGTGAAGAATAAATTTATATGCTCAAGCCTGAAGGTTTTGAAGAAAAAGAAAAGAATAACTTGGTTTGCAGATTGAACAAATCTTTGTATGGTCTAAAGCAGACGCTGAGGTGTTGGTATAAGAGATTTGATTTATTCATTATGTGACTTGGATACAACAAACTTAATGCTGACCATTGTGTTTATTTCAAGAGGTCTGGTGATAACGATTTTGTTATATTGTTGTTGTATGTGGATGACATGTTGGTTGCAGGACCCAATAAAGATCATATTGAAGAATTGAAGGCACAACTGGCTAGAGAATTTGAAATGAAGGACTTGGGATCAACAAACAAGATTCTAGGGATGCAAATTCACCGAGACGGAAGTAATAGGAAGATTTGGCTTTCACAAAAGAATTACTTGAAGAAGATATTGTCAATATTCAACATGCAAGATTGTAAGCCAATTTCTACCCCTCTTCCTATTAACTTCAAATTATCCTCCTGTATGAGTCCTAGTAGTGAAGAAGAGAGGATGAATATGTCTCGAGTGTCGTATGCATCGGCAGTGGGAAGTTTAATGTTCGCTATGATATGCACAAGACCAGACATTGCACAAGCAGTGGGAGTGGTTAGTCGGTACATGGCGAATCCAAACAAAGAGCATTGGAATACAGTAAAGAGGATCCTGAGATACATTAAAGGGACCTCAAATGTTGCATTATGTTACGGAGGATCAAACTTACTTATCAATGGGTATGTTGATTATGACTATGTAGGGGATTTGGATAAAAACAAATCTACTACAGGATATGTGTTCAAAATTACTGGTGGAGCTGTAAGTTGGGTTTCAAAATTACAGTCAGTTGTGGCTACATCCACAACAGAGGCAGAATATGTAGCAGCTATACAAGCCAGTAAAGAAACAATTTGGTTGAAGATGCTATTGGAGGAGCTTGGACACAATCAAGAGTATGTTTCTCTGTTTTGTGACAGTCAAAGCGCCTTGCATCTAGCAAGGAATCCAACATTTCATTCAAAGACAAAGCACATACGAGTTCAGTACCATTTCATTCATTAAAAGGTGGAAGAATGGACGGTAGATATGCATAAGATTCATACCAAAGACAACATAGCAGATTTCATGACGAATGCAATCAATGCTGATAAATTTACCTGGTGTCGATCCTCTTGTGGCATGTCAGAGACGTAAGCAACATGAAGGTACAAGGTAGAAAGAATGGTGTGAAGATATAATTGTTCCAATCAAATCTTCAAGTGAGAGATTGTTGAAATTCAAAGAAGAAATCGGTGCATTTATTGCACCGAATGAATTTAGTGCAATGGTCTAAAAGGTAGCTGGTAATTGTTGAAAAAATTGCTAAATGGGATAATCACATTTAGTCATTGTAATTTAGGGTATTTACAAATTAGTCCTTAAGCTTCAACTATAAATACCCTAGCTCATTTAGCTTCAAAACCATCTCAAAGCATTATAGCTTCCTTCCAATACTAGAGAGAATTTAGAGAGTTTCTTGAGAGTTATTTTCTCCTTTTTATCAAGAGAGAATTATCATTGTTTTCTCCTTGGTAGATTGAGAGAAGTTGTAATTCCTATTTTCTCCTAGTGAAATTCTTCTACCGTTGTCCGTGGATTTTACCCTATATTATTTAGGGGTTTTACATGTAAATTTTGTGTCTCTTTTATCTTCATTTTTATTTTCTCAAATTATCAGTTGCGATTTTGCTCTATCCGATAGCCGTCTTCCACAACACAGTTTACCCAAATAAATATATATTTTCACTATCTTCATGAAAATATAATTTCACTTCAAATATCTTATAACTCACATTAATAGAACTATCAAATCCTTTAATAAAAAGCAAAAAATATTTTCTTCCAAAGCACCACATTTTTATTTTCAACCAACAAATTTACATAACAAGTACACCAAACAAGCAGGCAGCTCAGGAAGATGGATCCTACCTATGAAATTCTAACACAAAATGACTGCTACTATTATTCTGCCAATAACTCCAACTTTTAAAACCAAAATTCAAACTAAAAGGCTGCTTAGCATTAACACAGGACAGCTCAAGACTCTGAGACTAACTTGTGTGGCTGACAGGATGAGTAGTGAGTCCATAACCAAAGGGATACAATGGGTCGTAATTCGGATCCCCGACATTCATCGGCAGCTGCTCAACCGTCTTGAACCATGTCCGAGGCAGTTTGCCGCTGAAACCATAGTCTCCAAAAAGAACATCGGCCACGCCTTGGCCTTCGGAGCCTGGAAGCCATGCAGCAATCAGCGAATCAACTTGTTCAAGATGTGGCATCATAACAAGGGGTCTTCCGGATATCAGAACAACCACACACTTGATGTTGGCGCAGACATTTTGGATTGCATATTGACCTTGTAATGGGATGGTCAAGTTCAAATTATCACCCGCTGTCTCGGCATACGGAGGCTCCCCTACAACGATGATGCCATAAGAGAAATTGTTGGTCTTGACGAAGTTGAAATCTGGGTTCTCTTGGTAGACTATCTCTGTGCTTGGATCAACAGCTTCTGAAATACCTTTCAGAATGGTGGTTCCTGTTGATTTAAACGACATTAATATGCGGTTTTCTGATGGTTGTGACTTGTGACTTAGTGTTGAAAGCTAAGTTTCAAGAGACAAGAATGGTTTATTACCAGCAGTCAAATTGTTTCCATCACCACCTTGCCAGTTGATGGTCCAACCGCCGCATTGATTTCCCAAGTTATCGGCATGGCTGCCGGCAACCAGGATCTTGGACGAGTTCTTGGGAAGAGGTAGCATTGGTTCATCTGCATTTTTTCCATTCTTCAACAAAACAAGCGATTTCCTCACTGCTTCCCTGGCCAAATCTCTATGAGCCTGAAATAAAAACCAAACAGGTCAATCCTGGTATACCCTGAAAGCTCGTCTTAAATGTTGAAAAAACATGCTGGTTTATAACCTGATGTCCGAGCTGGTCGACAAAGCTTTCATCAGCCATGGGGTTTTCGAACAAACCAAGTGTGAATTTGACTCTCAAGATTCTCTTAACAGCATCATCAATACGGCTCATGGGGATGAAATTGTTACTGACAAGGCCAGTCAAAGTATCAATAAACTCCGTATAGTTGTAAGGAACCATAATCTGTAAAACAAGCAGTCCAAACAGGTAAATCCGGAAGCCACATCGAGTCCGACTAATCCAAAACCGAGTCAGATTGGACCCTGAGCATACAAATACCTATCAAGGCCACTCACCATGTCAAGGCCTGCTTGAATCCCGGTGAGAACTGAATATGTATAGTTGGCATGAACAGGATATGTCATCCTATCAAGCGCCTGCCAATCAGAGATGACAAATCCCTGCAATTTTAAACACATACATAAGCACAGATTATATCATAAAACAATGTGTTATTTATTTCTCCTGCAGGTTTCATATTAAGTTCTATAGAGTTGCAGTCAAATTTACCCTGAACCTAAGAGCCCCCTTGAGGAAATCGGTGACTAGTTCGCGGTTAGCATGCATTTTCAATCCGTTCCAACTAGAGTAAGAAGCCATAACTGTCCCGACTCCCTTATAGACGGCCGCATTATAACCCGGCATGTGAATGCTAAGCAGTCCGTGTCTATCGATCACTGTGTTGTTTTCATTGATGCCCTTTGTTGTCCCACCATCTCCCACAAAATGCTTGGCACAAGCCACCACCTTATCCCTTTTCCAAAGTAGAAAACAGATAAACGGTTTCAGTTACTTTAAATTAATCCATAAATTCTTATATGTATGCATTGTAGATTTCCTGTTAACATACTTTCCACCAACATAAGGAGCACCCTTAGGTGAACCCTTTGGAATTTCCCCTTGGAGTCCATTTATGATATCTGTCATTTCCCTGACGACATTAGGATCTTCACTGTAACTCTCATAACATCGACCCCATCTCGGATCTCGACAAACCTAATAAAACTTTGTAAACATTAGAGTTATTGAAATGTATTTCTCTTAATAAAAACAAGTAAATCCAACTGATGATCGATCGAGTACTCCATTACCGCAATGCAGGGTGCAAAAACATAGCTTATGCCAGTAGCTCTAACTTCAAGAGCTGTTGCAGATCCAATCCTCTTCACAAGATCAGGATCCCTGTAACAATGGAGATTTATCATGATGCAAATAAGAGAAGACCCAAACATTTATCAAAGGCAAAGGAGAAAAACAAAAAACAAAAGATCATATGGCTTTAGCAAGATTCATAACCAGAACTTGTCTACAGAATCTAGTAAAATACAGCCAGTTTCAAACCTCACTAACCCCTAACTTCTATTCCTTCCTACTGTAACAACAGATAACTTTTTTGCACTAGAAAGTTTTTAGAACCAAATCAGGTCAATCTGTTTGGATCTCTTAATTTTAGTTTTGGGGGTGAGAATGAAGATCTGAATGAAAACACCATTGGACAGAGTTCAAGCATCAAAGAAGAAACATGCTGATTAGAAAGGCTAAACCAAATTACCAGTCCAAGCTCAACTTCGAGGAACAACTTTAGTTCTGCATTGTGAACCTTATTTTTTTTTTTTGATAAGAATTTCAGGCCTCGTTAAAAATCAGCGGAAGGAGGAAAAGAGTGTCTTAGGATTTTATTGAACCATAAATTTACATAAGATACAACCATTGTACACCCCACCAACCAAAAACTCAAAACAACCATAAAACAACGTAACTATAAATATAGAATCAACCAATTCCATTGTGAACCTTATTTGATACCTCCCTCAAGGCTCCGACCTACAATGAGGAAGAGACAATTAGGCACAGAGTTAGATCCTTGTCAAACTGATAAAAGAGCACATTTTCCTTGATTATTCTGCATTTTTCAAAGACAGACAGTTAAATACAAAACTATGCTGAACAAGGGATGGAGCAAAATCTAGAAACAAATACTCCTCAAAAAAGACTTCTGAGCCATGGTATAATAATTTATGGTGAGAAATATTACCGATTGTGTTTCCTCCAAAGGTGTCAATGGTCGGTTTGGACGGTAGGTATGGTTTTGACGCTTGGCCCACAACCAGAATCGCTGAAATTGCACTGGTACACCAAACTCTCTAGCAACCTCTTCCTGCTCATTGAAACATGGTAAATCAGGAACAAAATCATAACATGTACAGCCAAATAGAACCACAATGTATCATAAAAAAGAACAAGAAGATAACTTAAGATTCAACTTGATATGGTTAATGAAACATCATTAAAAAGGTAGTAATCAAGAGGAAAACAGGAAAAGAAGAGTACCAATTTGGTGAAAAACCCCAATCATTCCAAAAATATATATAACCATAAACATCAATTAAAACAATGGGAAACAAAATCTTTTTGTCTCTTCTATCATACCTTAAACACATTGAAAGTCGTCTGCTTTTGAATATGGAAACTCCTGACTTTATCATGATCCACAAGATCAAAATAAATATCCTTGCCAATCTGCTCTGCAAGGTCATCATCTCGTGCAACCTAAAACAAACATAGCTATTAGAAAGTACACTCAAAAATGCTCAAACCATTATCTAAATTAATGACTCAAACAACAACCTTTATGATAGTGTAAAGGTGTGCCTCTGCCTTCTCTTTCTTTTTATGTTCTTTTTCTTCCTGTTCTTTCTTCAATCTCTCCTGGAGAAGTTATAAAACATTCCATATTAGATTGTCAGGACGGGATCTCAAATTATTAACTTTAGATACAAGTATAATTCTTAAGACAAAATAGAATACTCAAACTCGCATGATAGCAGCTTGGTAAGAAGCTGATTGCGCTTGCTCTTGATAAAGCAACCCAAGAGACAATCATATTGAATCACACTGATTTCTTCAAGCCAAGTTTGAGAAGAGCCATTCTATTCAATATGTTGATCAACTCTCTATTCAATATGTTATTCTACTCTTAGTTGATAAACTACTCGAAATCATATTACTCGACATCCTTTAGGACCATTGGAACAATAAAACTAATGCTCAACCCTATAGTTGGGAGCCTGTTAATTTTACAATCCAAGCTCCCCACCTGCCACAACCTTTAGGCTCAATTCATTTGCAGCAGTTAATATATTAACAGTGGCATCTTACCCTAAGATGTTCAGCAATATCCTTCTCATCCACATTACATATTATTTTGACATTGTCACTTTCTCGTATATACACAAGCATGTACGCATTTGAATATTTGGTAAATTTAAAAGGAGTATTATTGAATCCAGGATTCGTCTGTGGTAACTGCCACATCATAAGGAAATTCCATTAAAATCAAAACCTCAAAGATACATATATAATTTAAATCTGAAAGGCTTAATATGAAAAAAAAAATTAAAAAAAACTGTTCAACAAAAGGTACCTCTTCCCCACCATACTGCTCCTCTAGTGCCCTTTTCATATCTTCTTTGGTTACTCTTTCATCATCAAATTTATACCTGAAAATCACACAAGTTGAATGCAGTAAATATAAAAATAAGTAATATTTTCACCACTCCGGACTCTTAATTTAATAATCAGCATCGACTAATTTAATAATCATGCAGCAGCCTAAGAATTTAACAGTTTATTCTTTTATCCAACAACTAATTAAAAATCAATCTGACATCTTTTTTCTTTTGCTTGGAAGAAGATTATGCATCAATTTGACTGAAGCACTTGGTAAAACTTTCATGTGATTAGCACTAGAATGCTTGACTGCTAGCACCAAATCTGTCAATTGTTGATCCAGCAAGAAAGACCTAAAAACATCATCAAAAATTGGCTATGCATAGGCTCTCCCCATCAAGGCCACATGGACATATTTAGCCCTTTATAGAACTTCAAAATGTGAAATATCTGCTAAAATCATCTTAAGAATTTCAATGAACAAGCATACAAACACGCCCTAAGATGCTTCAGAAGATGATTCATACCACTGATCAGAAAGAGTTGGCCTGATATATGCATAATAATGTCCACCGTGCACACCACCACTATGAACGAGGACACTGTAAACAAACTCAGATGTGAGCAACAAACATTATTTTTTTTATAAGAATTGAAGGCCTCGTTAAAAAACCCCTTCTTGATTAATGGAGATCGTAGAGAAGCTCCTTAATCAGCGGAAGGAGGAAAAGAGTGCCTTAAGATTTCATTAAACATAAAGAAAATTACAAAATAAATACAACACACCAATACACCCCTTACAGAAACTAGAAAACCATAAGACAACCATAAACAACAACACAGAAGTCAGCCTATTCCAGCCTTAGCTAAGGCTTCAGCCTCTAAGTTAGCTGTCCTAGCAACCCATCTAACAACACCCTCAAAAACACTAAGCCTATCAACTATGTCTTAATCCAGACCACTGCCATCCTTCTATCACTCTCAATAATCAACCGATCCTTAACAATGTTGGAGCAACAAACATTATTATAAGAATAATAAACCATAAAGCAATATTTCTGGCCCATAAAACTGTGCATCCGCACCTTGTCTACCTAACGATTATCAGAACATTGAAAGGAAAGAACAGAGGAAACAAGATAAATGCTAATTGTTATATGCACCTGTGAAGCGTGTAAAGATTCCGAACACTCCTATCAGCTTCTGGTGATAAGTATTTTCCATCATCTCGGTCAAGGTCAAGTTGCAAAGGGAACTCATAACGGTCATTAATCTACGAATGTAGTGGAAAGCTTTAGTTCAAAACAGTATGCCGTTAGAATTGTACTGATTATCTTGATCCATAATTTTTAAAGAAAAAAAGAAGAAGTAAATTATTCATTTGCATTTGTTTTATATACCAACTGAGAGGTGGATACGAATAGTAAGACCAGTAGAAAAACTCAAATGGCACGATACTGGTACCATTTAGTTTTATAATAAAACCACAATGATATCGACTACACCGGTTTGGATAACAAAACCCACACCAAAAAAAAATTCATTTATAAGTTAAAACTATAACAGAACATGCCAACCAATTCTAGAACTCAAGATATCAATGATTATCTTTTGCAATATTCATTTAGGTATAGTAAGAGTTAAGCAAGAATATAGAACTAGTGGGCTCTATACTCTGTGAAAAGGAAATGATTGAAATGTATTTGAATGCATTGTGCACAAATAATGGAGGCTTTTGGACTGCAGATAACCCAAAGATCAAGAACCACATAAATCTAAGATGTCATAACAACTAACCTTGACCATGGTGTCTCGCATAAAATCATATTCAAATCGTTTAAGCTGAAGTTGAAGGACTGGAGGGAAATCAATGAACAACACGCCCTTCTTAGCATCCTGAAATAACATCATCCAAAATGAAAATCCATTCGTTTAAATGGGAAAAGATGTAACATGTAATCGGGTATGATGCCGTACACAATACAAAAAACAAATTAATGCTTGGGTTGACAGGAACAGCTAAAGTCATTCAGATACTGCAAAACACAACATTTAGCTACAATGAACCACACATTTTGTTCATGCCGGACAAATAGCATCCTCTTATGCAGCTCTTGCATTAATGAAAACTGATCTAACTGAAAGCGAAGTTATCAGTAATCAAGTTATTTCTGGTGTATGCTCAAATCATTCTATTGGTATTCTCTTAGAAGCTTACAACAGAAGATTACCTGCAATCCATATTGCTCAGCATGATATTTATTATCACCCTCAAGACGTTCAACTTCTACATACTTGTCAAAAGAAGCATAAACATCTCGACAGCCTTTAACATCAAGCTGAAGGTCTGGTTTAGGTAAAAGTAAATTAGCATCGCATGATGAACAAGACTCATCAGACTCCAACCAGTCTTCAGAAGAAGGAAAAAATACCATAAAATGACTCCTTCCTTGTAGATTTATAATCCACATTAATGCACTCAATGTAGTTCATCTGGTGGCCTTCAAACAATTTCTGTATGGTGCCCTCCACAACAGTTCCCTGGTGGCATAAGAGAGGTGATCAAAACTTTGACTTCAGTTTCACATTAGAATGCACTCTTTTCCTCCTTCCGCTGATTAAGGAGCTTACCCCTAAGCTCCTTTAATCAAGAAGGGGATTTTTAACGAGGCCTTCCATTCCTATCAAAAAAAAGTTTCACATTAGAATAATTTGGGATGAAAAATTATTGAAGCTTTTTACCTTCATTTTATCTTCAAGTTTTTCACATAGAACTCTATTAAGTTCTTGAATGTCATGCTGCATGAAAGAATCATATGTGTCCCATCCAAAAGATTTGGTCAGCTCTTTCGTTGCAACACTGTTGTCACTGTACTGGAGTTTGTAAAACAAACTCTGCAGAGCAAGAGGAATGCTTCCAGATGGCATATCATTTTCAGTTGTAGGCATGTGATAAACTGCCTGAAAGGTAACATTCAACACATTAGCAATACTGAATAAAAACACATCAGTTCAAAAAATAGAGAGAGAGAGAGAGCATCAGCAATTACCTTTCTGAAGTAAGGAATGTGATAAAGAGTTTGGAGCAGAGAATTCATATAACATGTTGCTCCTTGATTCTTAAGACCGACATAACCAGTTTCTTTCTTTGAGTCACATGCCCAGTAATCCACAATTTTACGGACAACAACCTCTGCTTCAACAATCAAAGTATCATTCACAAGATACCCTCTGGAAGGATCATATAACTCGCCAAGGGGCATAAAGGATGTAAAACCCCAGTCACTTTCTCTTGCATTAAATTGATGCTGTGTGTCTGCAATGTTAAAGTCAGATATGAGCAAAATTAATAACCTTAACATTGTTCTATACAATGTTACAACAAAATCCACTTCAAGTTCCCAAAAATGAACATAGATCAGATGTTATACATACAGGGAAGCACTGTACATACAAGGAAGCACTGTGTTCACAAGGACAAAAAAGGAATTTTACAAAAGATTAAGATCGGAATACAACATTCTCGGAATACAACATTCTAGGAATACAACATTCTAAGAATATCCTCTAAACTTGAAAAATAAATACAATCAGCCAAAAATAGTCATGTCTCCTAATAATCAAAACGGATAATGATATCAAGAAACCCCATTGAAAAATAGAGCATCATAAACATGTCAAAATGTTACGTTTCTTTCTCATGTGATAAGTAATCAGATATGACCTACCTATAGTTGCATCAAATATTAATCTTTCATCAGAGGATAACAAAAGCATACTCTTCAACAAAATAGAACAAAATCACCTATAAGTAATGTTCTTATTGGGAAAGAAAACCGATGCTCATGCAATTTCACATACAAGATCAAATCCAGAAAGATTACTTAAACAGTAAGTGTATGAAACGCAAGGTAAAAGGGTAATACCTTTTCTGACTGAAAATTTATTATGAATTTGATTAATTACTGTCAAACTGAACTGTGCATATCTACTCCACCCATAGGGTAAACTTGCCGAGTCAGCAACATCCAAATACATAGACAAATGATCCGCATTGTTACCCTTCGGAAATATCAATATTCGCCTAAGAAATTCAAAACCAAGAGTATCAATCCTCAATTACTATCGCCAAAACAGAAAAGTAAGGGGAATAAGCAATGTACCATTTATAACCACCAACGACAAAATCATCAGAATAGTGCTTCTTAGTGTTTAGCCTAGAGAAGTTATCAATCTTCCAAGTGAATCTTGATGAAGGAGGATCCTCCACTGGTTGATTTTCCAAAGTATTTACAGTCTCGGTTTGGGATACAACTAACAAATTGAGACATAAAATCACAACCAAATCAAACCCTTTTTCGAGTGATGCCCACAAGAAACAAGTGCAGCAATACTTTGGAACTTATCTATTTTATAAGAAAAAAAGTACCTTCCATGGGCTGGTGATTGTCGGTCAAATCAGAGTGTGGCACAAGCATTTCCTCGTCTTCCTGTTGCTGGAAAAAAATAAGTAATCAAATAAATTCCCAGAAATAACTAGATCAGAAGCAGTTAAATCCACGAAGAAATCAAAATTGAAGATAAAAGAAAAACCCTAAACAAACTCCAAAGACATCAATTAATCAAAACGAAAACAATTCAAGAGAATAATAAGAGAGAGAATACATCGATTGGGGCGGGGGTCATGACAGTCATGACTGTGAAATTGAGAGGAATATTGGAAAGTTATAAAAATAAGAGAGAATATTCTTTTTCCTTTTGGGGGTTTTAAGGTGAGAGACCCGATTTATTTGACTGTGAGGACTGTTAATGGGCTTTATTTGAGAAATGGTATTTTCGGAACTTTGTTAATTTTCAGTGTTTCGTTCTTCGCAAGTTCAATTTTGGAGTAAATATAATAAAGAGTAAACTACATATTAAATACCTAAACAATTACTTTGATTCCGTTTTGATACCCAAACTTTATTATTTTTTAAAATCATACCTAAAGTTTAGTTTAGATACAAACAGTAGGTATAGTTTTAAAAGGTTAAAAAAATAAAACAAAAGTAATAGTTTAGATACTAAATGTGAAGTTTGTTGAAATTCAAAGAAGAAATCGGTGCATTTATTGCACCGAATGAATTTAGTGCAATGGTCTAAAAGGTAGCTGATAATTGTTGAAAAAATTGCTAAATGGGATAATCACATTTAGTCATTGTAATTTAAGGTATTTACAAATTAGTCCTTAAGCTTCAATTATAAATACCCTGCTCATTTAGCTTCAAAACCATCCCAAAGCATTCTAGCTTTCTTCCAATACTAGAGAGAATTTAGAGAATTTCTTGAGAGTTGTTTTCTCTTTTTTATCAAAAGAGAATTATCATTGTTTTCTCCTTGGTAGATCGAGAGAAGTTGTAATTCCTATTTTCTCATAGTGAAATTATTCTACCGTTGTCCGTGGTTTTTACCCTATATTATTTAGGTGTTTTTCACGTAAAGTTTGTGTCTCTTTTATCTTCATTTTTATTTTCTCAAATTATCAGTTGCGATTTTGCTCTATCCGATAGCCGTCTTCAGCAACAATTGGTATTCGAGCCAGATTAGAGTGTGTAATATATGCTTATTGTCTTTGTGGTTGCCACCAAAAGGTGGATCCTCCAACATAAGAAAGTAAGAAGTTATTACCCATTCTTTGAAGGTTTCAGAGAACTATTCACGATAGTGAAATAGTGGGAGCTATCCGTAAAAGAAGCTATGGCAACGAAATTTGATATTGAAAAATTCAATGGGAGAAATTTCTCTTTGTGAAAATTGAAGATGAAGGTCATCCTGAGGAATGACGGTTGTCTACCAGCTATCAGTGAAAGGCCGGTGGATTTCACAGATGACAACAAATGGATCGAAATAGACGGGAATGCTATGGCAAACTTTCATCTAGCATTAGCATATGAAGTATTGTCAAGCATCGAGGAAAAGAAGATATCTACGGAGATATGGGATCATCTCACCAAATTGTACGAGGTCACATCGATGCACAATAAAATTTTCCTTAAGAGATAATTGTACACTCTCCGTATACCATAATCTACTTCAGTGACGGAGCACTTAAATACACTGAACACTTTATTTTCTCAGCTTACATCCTTAAGCTGTAAAATAGGAGAACAAGAACGTGCTAAAGTTCTATTTTAAAATCTACCGGATTCGTATGATCAACTCATCATCAACTTAACAAACAGTAATGTCACTAGTCTAGTCTTCGATGACGTTGCAACTGATGTTCTACAAGAAGAAAATCGGCGCAAGAACAAGGAAGAACAAGTAAATCTGCAACAAGCAGAAGCATTGACAACGATGACAACGATGACAACGATGAGTGAGAGATCAACAGAATGTGGCCAAAGCAACAGTCACAAATATGGTAGATCAAAGTCGAGGAGCAAGAAGAATTTAAAGTGTTACAACTGTGGAAAGAAAGGTCATTTGAAGAAGGATTGTTGGAGTCTAAATAAAATTCCAATCCACAAGGCAATACTGCAAACACTTCAGATGATGGAGCTCTATGCTGTGAAGCGTCAACCACTATGGAAGGTAGAAAAAGATTTGCAGATATATGGCTCATTGATTCAGGAGCAACATATCACATGACCTCAAGAAGAGAATAATTCCATCATTATGAACTTATCTTAGGAGGATCTGTGTATAGTTGCAATGATCATGCCTTAGAGATCATTGGTGTGGGAACCATCAATTGAAGATGTATGATGGAACAATTAAAGTTGTTCGAGATGTGCAGCACGTGAAAGGCCTGAAGAAAAATTTATTATCCTACGGATTGTTGGATAATAATGCAAGCAAGATTGAAACACGAAAAAGAATCATGAAGATGTTCCGTGGAGCGCTTGTGGTGCTGAAAGATGAAAAGATAGTTGCAAACTTGTACAAGCTGAAGGGAGAGACTTTGGTAGAAGCAGAAGCCTCTGTTGCCTCATGTAGTTCAGATTCGACAATTCTATGGCATCAGAAACTTGGACAGATGTCAGAACAAGGAATGAAAGTCCTTGTGGAGCAAAAGCTACTTCCAGTCTTAACAAAGGTATCACTTACCTCGTGTGAGCATTGCATAACAAGTAAGCAGCACCGGTTAAAATTCAATACGTCAAATTCTAGAGGCAAAAGTGTTCTAGAATTGGTTCACTCTGACGTATGGCAAGCACCGGTTACATCCTTAGGCGGAGCAAAATACTTTGTCTTATTTATTGATGACTACTCTAGGAGATACTGGGTGTACCCTATTAAGAAGAAGTCAGATGTGTTTTCAACTTTAAAAAACTTCAAAGCGCGGGTGGAACTTGATTCTGTAAATAAGATCAAGTGTTTTATAACAGATAATGGAGGAGAATACACAAACGAAGAATTTGATGACTTTTGCTCGAAAGAAGGCATCAAAAGACAGTTCACAGTGGCAAACACTCCTCAACAAAATGGAGTGGCAGAGCGGATGAACATAACCTTGTTAGAAAGAACAAGAGCAATGTTGAGGGATGTAGGCCTAGAAAAATTATTCTGGGCAGAAGCAGTCAATGCCGCTTGTTATTTGGTGAATCGAGCTTCATCAACTACAATAGAGCTAAAAACACCAATGGAGATGTGGACTGGTAAACCAGCTGATTATTCAAACCTCCATGTATTTAGAAGTATTGTGTACGTGATGTACAACTCCCAAGAAATTTCAAAGCTAGATCCAAAATTCAGGAAATGCAAATTCTTGGGGTATGCTGATGGTATAAAGGGGTATCGCTTGTGGGATCCCACTGCCCTCAAAGTGATCATTAGTAGGAATGTTATCTTTGTAGAAGATAAACTACAAAGAAAAGAAGAAGGTAGTGTTGAAAAGTCAGAGACTATAAAGATACATGTGGAAAAGGAGTTTGAACAAGAAGATTCTTCTAAAGTAGAACCAGCACATGATGAACAAGAACCAGAGAGTTCTGAAGCTCCAACAACTCGTCAATCAGATCGTGTAAGAAGACGTCCTAATTGGCACTCAGATTATGTTATAGAAGGTAATATTGCATATTGCCTTTTAACAGAGGACGGTGAGTCATCAACATACCAGGAGGCAATAAACAATTCAGATGTTTCACTGTGGATGATGGCTATGCAAGAAGAAATCGAAGCCCTTCATAAAAAATAATACATGGGACCTTGTGCCACTACCACAAGGAAGGAAACCAATTGGTAACAAATGGGTCTTTAAAATCAAGCGAAATGGTGACGATCAAGTTGAGAGGTATCGTGCAAGACTTGCGGTCAAAGGATATGCTCAAAAAGAAGGTATTGATTTCAATGAAATATTTTCTCCTGTGGTTCGACTAACAACAGTTTGAGTAGTTTTGGTGATGTGTGCTACATTGAACTTACATCTAGAGCAGCTAGATGTTAAAACAGCTTTTCTTCATGGAAATCGTGAAGAATAAATTTATATGCTCAAGCCTGAAGGTTTTGAAGAAAAAGAAAAGAATAACTTGGTTTGCAGATTGAACAAATCTTTGTATGGTCTAAAGCAGACGCTGAGGTGTTGGTATAAGAGATTTGATTTATTCATTATGTGACTTGGATACAACAAACTTAATGCTGACCATTGTGTTTATTTCAAGAGGTCTGGTGATAACGATTTTGTTATATTGTTGTTGTATGTGGATGACATGTTGGTTGCAGGACCCAATAAAGATCATATTGAAGAATTGAAGGCACAACTGGCTAGAGAATTTGAAATGAAGGACTTGGGATCAACAAACAAGATTCTAGGGATGCAAATTCACCGAGACGGAAGTAATAGGAAGATTTGGCTTTCACAAAAGAATTACTTGAAGAAGATATTGTCAATATTCAACATGCAAGATTGTAAGCCAATTTCTACCCCTCTTCCTATTAACTTCAAATTATCCTCCTGTATGAGTCCTAGTAGTGAAGAAGAGAGGATGAATATGTCTCGAGTGTCGTATGCATCGGCAGTGGGAAGTTTAATGTTCGCTATGATATGCACAAGACCAGACATTGCACAAGCAGTGGGAGTGGTTAGTCGGTACATGGCGAATCCAAACAAAGAGCATTGGAATACAGTAAAGAGGATCCTGAGATACATTAAAGGGACCTCAAATGTTGCATTATGTTACGGAGGATCAAACTTACTTATCAATGGGTATGTTGATTATGACTATGTAGGGGATTTGGATAAAAACATCTACTACAGGATATGTGTTCAAAATTACTGGTGGAGCTGTAAGTTGGGTTTCAAAATTACAGTCAGTTGTGGCTACATCCACAACAGAGGCAGAATATGTAGCAGCTATACAAGCCAGTAAAGAAACAATTTGGTTGAAGATGCTATTGGAGGAGCTTGGACACAATCAAGAGTATGTTTCTCTGTTTTGTGACAGTCAAAGCGCCTTGCATCTAGCAAGGAATCCAACATTTCATTCAAAGACAAAGCACATACGAGTTCAGTACCATTTCATTCATTAAAAGGTGGAAGAATGGACGGTAGATATGCATAAGATTCATACCAAAGACAACATAGCAGATTTCATGACGAATGCAATCAATGCTGATAAATTTACCTGGTGTCGATCCTCTTGTGGCATGTCAGAGACGTAAGCAACATGAAGGTACAAGGTAGAAAGAATGGTGTGAAGATATAATTGTTCCAATCAAATCTTCAAGTGAGAGATTGTTGAAATTCAAAGAAGAAATCGGTGCATTTATTGCACCGAATGAATTTAGTGCAATGGTCTAAAAGGTAGCTGGTAATTGTTGAAAAAATTGCTAAATGGGATAATCACATTTAGTCATTGTAATTTAGGGTATTTACAAATTAGTCCTTAAGCTTCAACTATAAATACCCTAGCTCATTTAGCTTCAAAACCATCTCAAAGCATTATAGCTTCCTTCCAATACTAGAGAGAATTTAGAGAGTTTCTTGAGAGTTATTTTCTCCTTTTTATCAAGAGAGAATTATCATTGTTTTCTCCTTGGTAGATTGAGAGAAGTTGTAATTCCTATTTTCTCCTAGTGAAATTCTTCTACCGTTGTCCGTGGATTTTACCCTATATTATTTAGGGGTTTTACATGTAAATTTTGTGTCTCTTTTATCTTCATTTTTATTTTCTCAAATTATCAGTTGCGATTTTGCTCTATCCGATAGCCGTCTTCCACAACACAGTTTACCCAAATAAATATATATTTTCACTATCTTCATGAAAATATAATTTCACTTCAAATATCTTATAACTCACATTAATAGAACTATCAAATCCTTTAATAAAAAGCAAAAAATATTTTCTTCCAAAGCACCACATTTTTATTTTCAACCAACAAATTTACATAACAAGTACACCAAACAAGCAGGCAGCTCAGGAAGATGGATCCTACCTATGAAATTCTAACACAAAATGACTGCTACTATTATTCTGCCAATAACTCCAACTTTTAAAACCAAAATTCAAACTAAAAGGCTGCTTAGCATTAACACAGGACAGCTCAAGACTCTGAGACTAACTTGTGTGGCTGACAGGATGAGTAGTGAGTCCATAACCAAAGGGATACAATGGGTCGTAATTCGGATCCCCGACATTCATCGGCAGCTGCTCAACCGTCTTGAACCATGTCCGAGGCAGTTTGCCGCTGAAACCATAGTCTCCAAAAAGAACATCGGCCACGCCTTGGCCTTCGGAGCCTGGAAGCCATGCAGCAATCAGCGAATCAACTTGTTCAAGATGTGGCATCATAACAAGGGGTCTTCCGGATATCAGAACAACCACACACTTGATGTTGGCGCAGACATTTTGGATTGCATATTGACCTTGTAATGGGATGGTCAAGTTCAAATTATCACCCGCTGTCTCGGCATACGGAGGCTCCCCTACAACGATGATGCCATAAGAGAAATTGTTGGTCTTGACGAAGTTGAAATCTGGGTTCTCTTGGTAGACTATCTCTGTGCTTGGATCAACAGCTTCTGAAATACCTTTCAGAATGGTGGTTCCTGTTGATTTAAACGACATTAATATGCGGTTTTCTGATGGTTGTGACTTGTGACTTAGTGTTGAAAGCTAAGTTTCAAGAGACAAGAATGGTTTATTACCAGCAGTCAAATTGTTTCCATCACCACCTTGCCAGTTGATGGTCCAACCGCCGCATTGATTTCCCAAGTTATCGGCATGGCTGCCGGCAACCAGGATCTTGGACGAGTTCTTGGGAAGAGGTAGCATTGGTTCATCTGCATTTTTTCCATTCTTCAACAAAACAAGCGATTTCCTCACTGCTTCCCTGGCCAAATCTCTATGAGCCTGAAATAAAAACCAAACAGGTCAATCCTGGTATACCCTGAAAGCTCGTCTTAAATGTTGAAAAAACATGCTGGTTTATAACCTGATGTCCGAGCTGGTCGACAAAGCTTTCATCAGCCATGGGGTTTTCGAACAAACCAAGTGTGAATTTGACTCTCAAGATTCTCTTAACAGCATCATCAATACGGCTCATGGGGATGAAATTGTTACTGACAAGGCCAGTCAAAGTATCAATAAACTCCGTATAGTTGTAAGGAACCATAATCTGTAAAACAAGCAGTCCAAACAGGTAAATCCGGAAGCCACATCGAGTCCGACTAATCCAAAACCGAGTCAGATTGGACCCTGAGCATACAAATACCTATCAAGGCCACTCACCATGTCAAGGCCTGCTTGAATCCCGGTGAGAACTGAATATGTATAGTTGGCATGAACAGGATATGTCATCCTATCAAGCGCCTGCCAATCAGAGATGACAAATCCCTGCAATTTTAAACACATACATAAGCACAGATTATATCATAAAACAATGTGTTATTTATTTCTCCTGCAGGTTTCATATTAAGTTCTATAGAGTTGCAGTCAAATTTACCCTGAACCTAAGAGCCCCCTTGAGGAAATCGGTGACTAGTTCGCGGTTAGCATGCATTTTCAATCCGTTCCAACTAGAGTAAGAAGCCATAACTGTCCCGACTCCCTTATAGACGGCCGCATTATAACCCGGCATGTGAATGCTAAGCAGTCCGTGTCTATCGATCACTGTGTTGTTTTCATTGATGCCCTTTGTTGTCCCACCATCTCCCACAAAATGCTTGGCACAAGCCACCACCTTATCCCTTTTCCAAAGTAGAAAACAGATAAACGGTTTCAGTTACTTTAAATTAATCCATAAATTCTTATATGTATGCATTGTAGATTTCCTGTTAACATACTTTCCACCAACATAAGGAGCACCCTTAGGTGAACCCTTTGGAATTTCCCCTTGGAGTCCATTTATGATATCTGTCATTTCCCTGACGACATTAGGATCTTCACTGTAACTCTCATAACATCGACCCCATCTCGGATCTCGACAAACCTAATAAAACTTTGTAAACATTAGAGTTATTGAAATGTATTTCTCTTAATAAAAACAAGTAAATCCAACTGATGATCGATCGAGTACTCCATTACCGCAATGCAGGGTGCAAAAACATAGCTTATGCCAGTAGCTCTAACTTCAAGAGCTGTTGCAGATCCAATCCTCTTCACAAGATCAGGATCCCTGTAACAATGGAGATTTATCACAAAATTTATTGTAATGGTCTTGGAAAACTTTAAACAAAAACTTAACTTCAAGTGGAAGAAGCTGAAGAAAATAGGTCTTACCTTGTAGCACCTAGGCCAACATTATGAGGAAATACGGTGGCGTTATACACATTGTTATGTCCATGGACAGCATCAATGCCATAAATCATTGGAATCCCTAGCCTGGTTGAGAGTGAACCATTTTGGAAACCATTAACCATGTTGATCCATTCTTGAGGGGAGGCTTGAAGGCGCGGTATGCTTCCTCCTCCACTTAAGATGCTGCCGATTTTGTAGTCCCTCATGACCGCTGCAGTGGCTGCTTGCCGGTCGATTTGTACCATCTGACCAATCTTTTCATCGAGAGTCATTCGTTTCATGAGGTCCCGAATCCGCTTGCTAATAGGCTGCCTGGGATCCTTGTATTTCATGTACTCAACTCCTGCATGTGCCGTGGCGACCAATAAACTGAAAAGAAGAAACCCCACTAAAGGGGCTGATATTTTTGCCATGATTTAATTGTTCAAATTGGTTCCTGGAAGACGAAAAACAAAAATTAAATTTTATGTTCCGTGAATACTTAAAATTTATTTTACTCAAAATAAAAAACAAGATTTCATTTCCAAAGCTAAAAGAATCAAAAGAGAAATTTAAGCTGAAAATTAAATTATACTCGAAGCTAAGAAAATAGTAAAAACACAAGGAAAATAAAGAGAAAATTAACCTTGGATATTCTATCGATCGCTAAAAACAATCGTTTTGACGTATGTTTAAGATTTTGGCAAATTTATAAGAGAAATGTATAGGGGAACTGAGAATATTTCAACTTAAAATTTTAGATAAATAACAACAGATATTATTTTATATATTTGATTATCTAAATCTTTAGTCTGTTATGATTTGTTATGATTTAGATTTTTTTTATTTTGTTTTGGTCAGTAAACTAATTTTAAACTAATTGAACCAAATATTAGGATAATGTTTATAACTATTATTTGATTTTTTACATTTTTTATTTTTTATATTATCAATAAATTTCTTCCTTTGATATTAATTTTTTTAAGAATAAAAGACAAAAATACAAATTTTAGAATTTTAGAATTTTTTTAGGATAATAAGTACACTTATTGGTATTTTTTATTTGATATAAAATAACATAATTAATTTTTATTTAGTAAATTTTATATTTAAGATTTATATACAAAATATAAGAAGATGTTAACAAATAAGATTAAGAATCTAACCACGTATATTATCAAATATACATTTTTATAAAAATATATAATATTTTGAAGAAAGAAAAACATGAAAATTTGATTCATGCTCTACTCATTTAAATGTTTGATACATTAATCATCTATGTTCTGCTCATTTTCATCAAATATTACAAAGGGATAGACCGAGGGAAGGTCGAAGGGATCGCATTTTAAAAAAAATTAAAATTAAATTTTTATTTTATATTAATAATTTAATTTTATATCTTTAAAATTTTATAATTTTATATTCCGTCGATTTTTAATATATATTCCTACAAGTTCACATCAATCACATCATATCCTTCGTTCGTCTCATATCTTAATAGAATTCACTGCAGCACAAAGTTTAATGACCACATTTATGTAACATAGCTAACGAGTGGAGTAAAATTAATGAGTTTTATATAACATCTATCCCATTATCTGTTATTTTTATATTAATATTGTATTCGTATTCTACATATTTTCCTGTCACAATTTAGTTTTTCTTATTTCCAGAAGTTCTTTCATGTCTCCTTTTCGACATAACTAGATGAAAATGTATACACGCCGAAGGTAAAGTTGAAGCAAGCAGCCAGTAGAGTTGCCTCACTTTGTGCCCATTGTCCACTGCAAGAACTTCTCGACGCTGTCGAGCCCGCACCACTCTTTCACAACCGGCATGATGGCTGGAACCTCCAACTGGAATGCTGTTGAATTAGATTCGACAACGCCATTCCATGAACCAAGTTGCCTTCTGGCTTCAACTATGGCCGCCCTTGTAGCACAGGGAACTGAAACCGCCAGAATTAACTGCGGCTCACCGGATGCTGCAAAACAAGAATCGACGAATGTTGTTGATTACCAAAGTTTTCAAAAAATGAATGTTGATGGGAATTTTAAAAGCTTGCCTTTTGAAGAAAGCAAACGTTTCTGATGACGTCTGCTGTTGAGGATTTCGACATTGAATTGTTTGGGAATGGTGTCCAGTGTAGGGACTTTATAACTCCATGTTCCATTTGCGGTCACTAATCCATCTGAGTTTGTTGGATATTCTTCAAACATAAAGAATCCAATTCCTTGAACATAAGATCCTTCTATCTGCAAAACAAGATTGTTTCCTATGTTAATCCGACTTGCATGAGTACCAGGTACGTGTTCGATATGAATATGCTCAATTTTCCTTTTTTCGTTAATTTTCATATACTTGAAGTCTGTATTCTTGTATCATGTCTAAATATGTTAAAGATCAAATATTGAATACAAATAGAAAAGTTCAGACTGTAAACACAGGCTAACCTGCCCTAAATCCACAGCAGGGTTCAAACTTTGGCCACAGTCATAAATTATATCTGAGCCCAAAATTGTGGTTTCCCCAGTTTAAAGGTTTACTTCCACCTGCAATGCCACATCTTCACCATTAGTAAATATGAAATCAATTAGTACAATCTGTTATGCAAATGATGAATATCGTTCACGTGTCAAATTACGAGTGTTGGATAAGAATACGCATACGTTATGAGTTCACAGAAGCAGACTCAGGTATAAAAAGTGTACTTGCCTCACTCACTGCTGCACCATAGTTTAGGTAATGCATTGAAGCAGGCTCAGGTATAAAAAGTGTACATGCAGATAAGTTCACAGAAGTTTGATATGCGTGCATTGCATGAGAGATGAAAATAGTGAAACAAAAAGGATACCATAGGTAGTATTCTAGAAATCGGACCCGGAAATGAAGCTGTAGGGGATCCAGTTTACGGCTCGACGATTGGTTCAATTGGAGAGAAGATTTCATCTAGTTTCAAAGTGGAAAAAGAAATGAATTCTGAGTTCATACCTGAAGAATCAATGTCTCCCATTCAAGAGTTCCCGTTTGTTCAATCAACTTTTCCTTAAGAGCTGTAAGCCTCTCAACCAAGATGCTGCAGCAAAGTCTAACTGCTTCACAGCTCGATTCCGACGTGGTGCTACCACCAGTGATACCCCCTTGAATCAAACTCAAAGTATTGGATTGAATGACTCTTACTTTCTCCAAAAGCTCTTCAGTGCCATCACGTTTGATCAAACCAAGACCATATGCAGCCACTTGTTTCACTTTGGTCCATAGACCCTGACCCATATCAACCCTTCCAACTTCAACAACAATGGATCCATCTCTTAGGTTGCTTACTTTCCCAGGGGTTGGCCTCACATTCACTTCTTGAGTAACCGGCACACGTGAAATCCCTCGTTTCCCCCATTTATTAGATCTGTTGAATTCCTGTATCATTTCAGTCCTCTGGTGAAAACTTGAAGATGTGGCCAACTTACCCCATATTGCAGGTAAAGTACACCCCAATGGTTCACCTGAAGCACTCTTGTAAAAGAATTGGAGGCTGTTATATGTATGGAGATTGATACTTCGAACGGTGTCAACTTCAACGGTTATAAACTATGAATTATATTGGTTTGAATTACATAGTGTAAATTATGTTGAATGATTATAGACTATGAATTATATTGGTTAAGAATTGGAGATTATTATATGTATGGAGATTGATACAGTAAAATGTTATAAACATAGTGTAAATTACATTGAATGGTTATAGACTATGAATTATATTGGTTTGAATTTACATATGAATGATATGTATATCTACGTAATGAAGATAATATAATAAAAGTTATTGTCAGTGGAATGTCGTACGACGATAAACAACCAAATAAACATGTTTTACAATAAATCTAATTATAGAGGTTGTAAAAAGAAAATATAGTGAATGGTTATGTATGAAAGAAACATGTTCCTTTCATTGAATGGTTACATATATTTTATGTATATTGTTGTAAAAAGAAAATTTTATAAATTGTGCTCAAACGGGAAATGATATAGTATAATAAATAAAGAAATGTGAAAATATGATAAGATATTAAATGGTTATGTATGAGGATAGTAAAATATTATATTATAAAGATTAATCCGTTAAGTTTTAAATTAAACAGTTTTAGATTATGATATGAAATATTATTAAACTGCTCAGATGCTATGCGAGTTCGAATATAAAGTGGAAATTAAATATTACATTATGATTTTATGTGGTTAAATAATATGAGTCTAAATGATTAAATTTAGAAATTTTAAAAGAAACAAATTTTTTGCCATTTTCGAACAGTAATTGTTATACGAAAAGTGTGACATTCTTAGCTTGTATTCGGGTACGAATGTGAGTTAAGAGTGTTACATCGAGCAAGTGCTTAAAAGCGACGGTATGGTGGTATCAATAGACATAATTAAAATATGATTTTATCAGATCTCAATCAGTAGGTTAACGTCGAGCTTAGACGATCGTTAATTTTTTAATGAAAAATGATGAGTTTAAAATATATGAATACTCAGGTGACCATTTTATAACTTTTTATTGTATGAGAACTCAACAAAAGAACGCAATGTCATATAGTCGAAGGTCCATTTATGTACTTTACCCTTAATTTTAGTAACTTTTTTTATATTTATTATATTTTAAATTTTAAACAAATTTTTTGAATATTTGCTTAACTTAAAGGTTAAATAAACCCTAAAATTTTATTAAAAATAATTAGTTAAACCCATAAACTTTAGAAAATTAATTAAATCTTTTTGTCACCTCACCGTTCATAAAACAACAATATCTTAATAATTTTATAATATTTTTAGATTTATAATTTTTAAATTTTAAATAATATTTCATTTTTAGTTTTTATTTAAATATTAGATAAATCCTCAAATTTTATAAAAAAAAATTAAATTCCTCTATCACAACTACGTTCACAAGTGGATTAACATGTCAGTACCTATGGATTACTATGTCAATATTATTAAACTATAACGATCAACGATAATTTTTATTGAATTTTTTATAGATTAATTTCTCATATTTAAAATTTTAATTAAGTGTAAATAATCATAAACTTTATTATTATTATTATTTTACTTCGCATCCCAGTAATAAGGATTCGGTTCATGATAACTGTTTTTTATTAGTTATTCGTACGATAATTTGAACTTTCATTAGAATTATCAATATCACTTAATTACTGAAACATAAGAATTATCAATAAATATTTAATTTTATGTAAAACTAAATAAATGTTTCACTTTCATATTAAATTATTTTGATTTTATTTTATGAATTTATTATAATGTCAATAAGGCTTTTGTGTCATTCTACTAACTACATTATGTCACTGATATGCATGTTTAATTTTTTAGATAGAAATGTTTATTATTGTCGCCGTTGTTATTACTCTTCTTTTTCTTATTATTATATGATAACCATAATCACAGGGCTTTTTATTATTAATCCCATGTCCATACTGATTCAAAATTTGCCAGTCAATGAAATTATCAAAATAAAAAACTCAAATAATAAAAAATATGATTAAAGAATAAATTTTTCTTTAAGATTTTTTTCTTTATTCTTCTTTTAAGTTTTATCTTTTTGTTTGTCTAGGATGATGGTGCCACCATTGGCATTCAATGAATGCCCATGGGTTGGAGTAATTATGGTTATTTTTTCTTCCATATTATTTTATATTTTAAATATTTAAATTTCAATAATTATTTAATATTTTTATATAAAAATAGTCGATATTTTTTATTTATTTTTTAACACTTTATTTCAATGCTGAATTTAATATCATATCTTCAATTAAAAATTATTTGATTATTTTAATAATTTATCCTTGGTTTAGATTCTTAATTAATTTTTTAATGTTGATAGATGCTTGCAATCACACAGATAGTTCATGCTTGAGTTATAATAAATTTCTATTATCAATATACTGTTATCACTAGTTTTGTTTTTATGTCAATATTAATAATGTTTATCATTTATCGTCGATTGTGATGTTTTTCGTATTTCTTTTAGAGTTTTTGATTAAATTTTTTAAGTTTTCTTTATATATCATTTAGTGATTAATTTGTATAAATTTATATATCATTAGAATAATAACTAAACATCTTACAAGAAAATGTAGTTATTATTCTAATGATTATATTTTTACATATAGAAATATATACACTTAAAAGAATGCATAAATTATTCTTGGGATTCATGCTAAAATAAATTTTTCGAGTAGATGCCAAAATAAAATTTGCGAATTCATAAATTTATGATTAGATTAATTTAAATTAGCAGTTATAAAGATTTATGATGAAGAACTTTTTAGATTAATATATTTTATTTATAATATCAAAAATTCAAAATTTTGATGTTATTTTAAAAAATTTACACTTCGTCCTATCAAATTAGCTACTAATTATTATATTTATATTATCTCTTACATCATATTTAAATTCTATTTTGATTATTCTTTTATTCTTAAAAAATAAGATTAGACCATAATTAGAGATTCAACAATAAAGCCACTTACACCCGGATAGTTTCGATAAAGTAAGGTGCCGACTAAGAGGATAGTTTGCGAATGGAGCAAACTCATTTAGGAAAATTTTCCTCACCTCTACAATACTCAATCTAGATTAGTCGATCAATAGATTTGATGTCAGTGATTAATTAAAAAAATTAATTTTTTTTTTAATTTATTATAAAATAATTACTGCAGAGAGATAACATGATACATTAATTTAATAGTTAATATTTTTATCACCTCAATTATAATTAAAATATTATTTTAATATTTTAAATAATATCAACATAAAATTTTAATTATAATTGAAGAGTCAAAAGATATATAAGTAATTAAATTAACAGGCTATGTTATCCTCTAATAGCGGTTATGGTTGCTATAATCATTTTAACTGATTAAAAAATTAATAATTATTTTTTAATTTTTAAAAATTATTTAAACATAATTTAACAACATCTAGTATACCGGACCAAATTCTTTGAACAAAAGCTCCTTCAGTCTGCAACATCTAACATATCGGATCAAATTTCTTTTACATTCAAGTCATGCAAAGTTGCATTGTATTCAAGCTATAATCTGACTTATAAATCCACATCAGGATTTCAGCTTTGCCCCCACAGTCGTTCGAGTATCAGTCCGCTGTTAGAAGGCTACCTCATCTGCAATGCTACAGATTCGAAATAACAGTAGAGAGAGTTTGAAAAAAAATTAAAAATTAAGATGAACTTGAAAGCAAAATGAAGCAAGAAAAACTTACCTCGGTCACTGCCACACTATAGATTAATGCATGAAAGAAAGGTTAGGTAAATATGAACTTGCAGATAAGTTCAAAGAATTGATTTAATGAATAAGCTTGCATTGGTATCAAGCTGTAGTAGATAAAAGACGATGAAAGTTGAAACACTTATGCTAAAATGATTCGAAATAACAAAAAAGGTTATTTTAGAACTATTCAATTTCAACTTTGAGTACATGCTACAATTACATCAAAACTCAAAACTATAATAAACATCAAGATATACATATTGCTTTCATGAGTATAATCAAGCATACATGCACACATATATACATGCATACTGATCTATCTACATCGGAAAACCATAGTTTTCATACTCTAAGTAACCTTCATTCGAAGTCAAATAGTTCGGGGGGGGGGGGGGCAATTGTTGCAATAGAGATGCCTGACCACTTGACATAGGGACTTGGGTTTACATGCACATATACATATTTACATACATACATACGTATGTACTTACTGACCGATCTATCTACATCGGAAAACCATAGTTTACATGCTCCAAGGACCCTCCATCCAAAGCCAAATAGTTAGGAGGGGGCAATTGTTGCAGTAGAGATGCCTGACCACTTGACATAGAAACCCAATTTTGCTCAACAGGTGCATCGACTGTTGTAATGTCATGAATGCTCGATCTTTTTCTTTCTTTCTTTACCGAACTCTGTCTAAGAAAGTATTTCTGAGCATGGCTAGCCACTTGAGTAGGTGTTCGAGTTATCACTACATTTCTCGATATACTCCGCCAATCACCCTTACCAAATTTCTGCAGACCAATTAAAAATAATCTGTTTGCCATATCAAAAACAAAAAACATGAGCAGAAGAAAGCAATCATTCATTCGGTTCAACACCAGATATAACAACAAGAAGTAGCATCAAGTTGGCACCTAAGATATAATTCAAAACAGAACAGTAGTTAACAATCCTATGAACAAAATCAATCCATAAAATGCAAAAACCTTTATGAACACTTAACCTGCTTGCTATATGAGTGAAAATAAGATGAAGAAAACAATTATTCATTGAGTTCAACAAAAGATAAAAAGAGAACTGGTAGAATCAAATCAGCAACTAGCACGGAATCGACAACAGAATGGTTGATTAACAATGCTATGAACAAAATCAATCAATCAAATGCAAAAATCTTCAAGAAGATTTAACCTGTTTGTCATATCAGTGAAAATGAGTTGAAGAAAGTATCATTCATTCAATTCAACCGATAATTGAGAACAAGTAGCATAAAAAATCAATTAATAAAATACAAAAAGCTTTTACAGCTATTTGCTTTAGATAGAGCATCTCTTTCTTTCTTTTAAAATCCTTTGACAATATGATTTAGATAAATAAATTCTAGTTGACAACTCAAAACTGACTAAAGTCAATATAATAGACCTAAAACACAACATTTACTATTCAAGCAATCATATAAAAAGTAAAAAAAAAAAAAGAATTCTTGTTAAAATCATCTCTAGATTTTAGACTCAATTATATTATTCGATTTAACTTTTCTCAGAAAATATTTATAAAACAACAAAAAGGTAATATAAAAATCAGAAGTCAACGTACTTGTGTTCCTCTTCTGTCCACGGAGTTCCTTTCCTTTTCTCATTGTCTTTTGAAGTGAAAGATATCTGTTTTTCAGAATCACAACTAGATAAGGCAGATGAATCATCAGCATAATTAGGAACTTTAATTCGACCGGCATCGATTTCGTAAACATCGTGCAAAAGCATATCAAAATGCTCTTTCACTTCGCCGGCTGACTTTCCAGGAATCCTGTCGGCAATCTTCTTCCACCGATCTGAGATTTCTTCAGGGAAGGTAACCAACGCATTCTCAAACAGCTTATCCTCCGAACGAGTCCAGTACTGAGTGGTAGAATCCCGTGTCGACGAGCGAGTTAAGAAAGGATTAGAGGTATTTTGATTTTGCGGATCCATATTCTTTTGCAGGTGTAGATGAACTTTCTTGAAGTTTTTTGCTTTACAGGTCCAAATGAACTTTCTTGAAGCTTTTATATTGCAAATGCAAATTTTTTAGAAAAAGACGGTTATGGTCTGAACTTGGAAGGGTTTAGGCATTTTGTATTTTGTTTCTTCAGTTTCTCTAACGAGAATTCTTAGTCAGCACGACTTTGTTATAATTGGAAAAGTTTTGTTAATAATCTATAAATTTAAGTATTTCTTTCCATTTTCCTGTTTTTCATTCCTAATAATAAATATTTGTGTATGTGTACTCTGCTGTAAACAAAAGCAACCTAGTTAAAATTGTTATAACCTTTACTATTAGAATCAAACTAATTATTGAAATTGAAATTTTAAAAAGATAATATTTTAAAAAATAAGGTAAACTTCAGATATCATTACTCTTTTAATTTTTAATTTTTATATTAAACTTTAATTTTATTTCAATTATACCACTAAACTATTAAAATTCAAACAATATGAAAACATAAAGAAAACATCATTTTAATGCAATTATTAATATCTAAAACAACATCATTTCTGACATTAAATTTTTAACTTTAAAAAGATATCGATAAATTTTTAAATATCTATATTTTTTATATTATATTTTCTCAACCGTCTATGACAATCGATCTTCATCTACCATTAATTGTCTTTCGTAATAAAATCATACTAAAATGTTTGTAATTTAGTCATACTTTTTAATATTAATTTTTTACGAAGCTCACCTAAAATCAACAAAATTAAATAAAAATAATAATTTAGAAAGATTAGAAATAAAATTAATTTTTATAATTAAATTACGAAAATAAAACAGCACCCAAGTTAGATGACTAATTATGTCATCTACCCAATTGTAGAATTTAAGTCTAATCGGAGGCTTTATTATCAGAAAGGGAAAAAAACAACCACCACCACAACAATTTGTTTATTGTTTGGATATACGACAATTTTGTTTATTGCGTATGTGTGGTGTATCCATGGGGTCTTTTCATCTATTGGACAAATTCGGTACATTTTCGGAGAAAATTTCTAGTTGAAATATGATATTGACATAATACAGTAGCTTGCTGAAGTTCCGTTCAGGTTGTGTGAAGAAACCATTGAATAAATTGAACCAGACAGCCTGCAGATTCCCGTAGCTTGCAGCCTAATGTCCACTGTAAGAACCTCTGAATGTTATCAATCCCGCAAAGCTCCTTCACGGCCGGCGTGGTGGCAGGTACCTGCAACCGAAATGCCTGATCAGACTCATCTTCGCCACCCCATGAATGAAGTTGTTGTCTGGCTTCTTTAAAGGCTGATCTTATAGCACAGTGAACCGAGACCGCTAACACTAACAGTGGTTCTCCAGGAGCTGCAAAACACACACATGATAGAAGTTGATGTGAAGTATCATGTTTACCAGTCTCATAACTTTGTGATCTTATATTCCGTGCCCGATGCATGAGCTAATGCCAACAATAAAAGGTAGCATCTTTGATCGCCTCGAGTACCAACTACGGTACCACCTAATACAGATAGTATAGACAACGAAAACGTGGGTATTAACTAGTCCATAACAAGAACTCCTATATCCATTTCGTCATTAGAGTGCACTTTCAAGTTTCAACTAGTATTTGCAGGACTATGAAGCAGTTTCTTCAAGGTAAGTGTTTCTCCCATAATCGAATATATGGAGTTTCCTACAAAAAATAGGGTATCTATGCTTCAACTGCAATTCGTTTTACTAAACTTCTCAACTCTATTAATAGCTTTTGTTTCTAATTTGTGAGGCAAGGCCATTAACTGATCTGAATAAAGAGTAACACCACACTAAAGGACATGTCAGAGTGCAAAAAAACATGAGATAAAGTTTGTCCAAAATGATACAGGAATTAAGTGCATATATAAGCAAATATGTTGTGCAGAAAACGAATCGTAAACTCAAATAAAAATGGAGATTGATATTGCAGAAAACAGGCCAAAATGATACAGGAATTAATTTCCGCCAGTCAAGGACCCCTTTCACCGAATACACACCGTCACCAGAACCTGCCCAGCACACCCAGTCACGGATCAGTCTATTACGACGAAAATCCTGCAGAAAACGGATGAAATCATTCCACTGCTCGTTCTCCCAGTCAAAGAGAATTCTTCTAAACGTTATGTTCCAATGCCAACCCCAAACTTCCTTGGTACCAAAGTCGGCAATCACTCCAGCTTTGTTACATGCTAATGCGAAGATCCTTGGGAATTTAATTTTAAGCGGGGAATCCCCAAGCCACCGGTCAGACCAAAACAATATGGATTTACCATCCCCAACCTACAAAACGAAATTATTTCTCAAGCATTTTCCAAACTCATCATCCTTGAAAAAATATTTAATTATCCCATTCCATGTCAAGGATAGCCGTTGAAGTTTATGCCCGTTAGGGAGCAGATTCCTCTCCTCATATTTATACTTGCACCTGATTACTTGCTGCCATAAGCCATTTTTAAGGTTAGCGAATCTCCATACCCATTTACCCAACAATGCACGATTATGAATACTCAAGTCGATAATTCCCAAACCCCCCGATCTTTAGGACAGCAGACCGAAGACCATTTCACCCACGGAATCTCTCTCTTCTCAGAGGAACCACCCCAAAGGAATCTTGACATCAAACCAGATAATTTGTTGTAAACTGCTATCGATAATTTAAAGATCGACAATTAGTAAATGGGATGGGAGGAAAGGACCGATTTAAGGAGGACAAGTCTTCCTCCAAAGGGCAGTACATTTGCTTTCCAACCAGATATTCAGAATTATGTTTGGGGCTGAGAGGGAGACCCAGATATTCAGAGGGGAAATTTCCCACATCACAACCCACTGTCAAAGCCCAGCTGAAAACTGTAGCATCAGGAACATTGATTCCATATAACTTGCTTTTCTTCATATTAATCTGTAATCCATAAGCAAGTTCAAAAACACGAAGTACTCTTTTGAGGTTGCAAACTTGTTCCAAAGATGCGTTGCAAAAAATTATTAAGTCATCTGTAAATTGTAAGTGAGAGATTTTTATCGACTCTTAACCGCCACTGATTAAAAAACCCGAAAACAGGCCTTTCTGAGCTGCCTTTGTAAGCATTTAATTTAAACTTTCTCCCACGATATTGAAGAGTAAGGGAGAGAGGGAACACCCCTGTCTCAAACCCCTAGCTATCCCGAAAGCGTCAGTAGGCACTCTATTTACAAGGACCAAAATCGAAGTGGTTGAAATGCATCTTAGAATCCAATCGCACCATAAACCTCCAAAATTCATTTCCTACATAACCCGAATCAGAAACCCCCAATCCACCGTATCAAAAGCTCGCTTGAAGTCAATTTCAAAGACTACACCCATCTTCTTCCTTCTCACTAGTTCATCAATGCATTCGTTGGCAATAAGAGAGCAATCCAGGATTTGACGACCTGGAAGGAATGCGAACTGAGAATCACTAATAATGGAATCCGCACAACTTCGCAAACGATTCGCCAAAAACTTTGACAGGATTTTATACATCCCACCCACCAAACTAATAGGACTGAAATATTCTACCTTTTCCGGATTGACAATTTTCGGGATAAAAGTAATGAATGAATGATTAATATCATCTTCCCAGTGATTCCCCTGATGGAAATCATTAAAGAATCTCATAATTGGATCCTTGAGGTGCACCCAGAATTTTTTTGAAGAAACACATGTTGAACCTATCGGGCCCTGGATCTTTGTTGCCATCCGTAGAATTTATCGCACTCCAAACTTCCTTTTCCTCGAAGGCAACTTCCAACAAGGAGGCCTGAACTGATGAGAGTCTTTTGAACTCCAAATTGGTATTTTCCACCTCGATCGCTGTTTTGGAATTGTAAGCCTTGAAAAAGAAATCAAAAATAAGACTTGGATCTGAGACAGAAGTACCATTGATGTTAAGGATCTTAATGGTGCTGACTCTCCGCCTGTTGAAAGCCATAATGTGGAAAAAACGGGTGTTTCGATCCCTCTCAGTGAACCATTTTACTCTGGATTTCTGAAGCCACGCGCGTTCCTCTTTTCTCAATTCTTTGTAAAGCTGGGATCTTAAGAGCCCCAACCTAACTGAAGCACTGTGACTTACCACCCTGCTAGAATTTATCTTCTGATCTCTGAATATTGCTTTCAAGGGATAAAATGGATTTGTTCAAATCGGATTTACGATTGCCAGACCATTTCTTTATTGCCATCTTAGATTCCTTGAGCATGTCAAGCACACCCATTCTTCGATTTCCCTTTTTCAAACTCTAAAAATTGGAGGCCATCATATCTACAAAACCCTCTTCCTCCAATAAATAATTAAAGAACTTAAATGGTTTCGGACCGCTCGGACAGCCCACACAACTGAGGAAAATAACATTGTGATCAGAGATGGATGTCTAATAGATTTTGCCCAACATCTAGAAAGGTCGAGAGGAATTGTGTATTCAACAAAAAACGATCCAGCCTAACCAAAGTAAGAAGAACCCTATTACTGTTCCACGTAAATTGACCTCCCAGAAGAGGAAGGTCAATCAACATAGATGCATGAACAAAATCATTGAACACCTCCATAATTGTCAAGTTAGGAATGCCACCAAGTTTCTCATCCACTTTCAGGAAGGCGTTGAAATCACCACCCACGCACTAAGGCAAACAATGACTGCTCAGGAACAAAGACAAATCCTCGAAAAACTTCTCTTCTCTGAATCAATTGAAGGACCATACACATTTATAAACCCACACTTTCAATTACAAGAGTTTACTGTCCCAATAATCGCAACAAAACGCCTCGAAACAAATTGGCTTTTCATCGTAAAGAAATCCTCGTCCCATATACTCAGCAAGCGTCCAGCCGAGCTTACTGAAGGAGGAAAACAAAAAGAATTCCTAGCCTTATTCCACAACTTACGGCGCACACATAATAAAAAGTTTAGCCTCTTGAAGAAATAAAACATTTGGATTTTTCTGGGAAACAAGTCTTCTATCTGCTCTGAACTTTTCACCTCTCCCTAACCCTTTAATACTCCATGAGATGACAGACAAATTCATTAAAATGAATCAAATACCCGTAAAAACCAGAAGTAAACTATCTCCCCGACTTGAGAGCCTTCTCAATTTCACACAACTTCCTCATCATCACCTTCCTACCACCTCTAAAGGAAATTTCAAGAATTTTTCTTACCTCCTGCACTGCCCTAGCTTCCTCGTGACTTCTTTTTGAATTCGAACCCTGATGAGGAGGGGAATTGAGGCTATAAAAATCATCTTCTTCCAGAGCTTCACGGATGGATTTCCTAACTAAGCATCTGTGCTCCGGATTAAAAGCTTCACCGCCAGGTCTAGAGGATGAGCGGGGATCATCGTCATTACTAACAAAATGACTTTGCATGTTCTTAGATCTATCATGCCTTACCAAAATTTGAGAAGAATCTTCTATAGTACTATCCAGACCCTCAAAAGTATCAGGGACAAACTCCAATGAGCCTAAGTAAGACCTGAAATTAAGAAGGGAGTTACCACCCAGACCTAAGAGAAGAGCCCAAAGAAAGACAGGCTTCATTTAAGACCAGATTTACTTTTGGCCCATCATCATGGCATGGAAGGCCTAAATCACCATCTAACAATTGGCCTGTAGGAAAGAAAAAAGATTGAATTGAGGAATTATGACCCCCACTATGACATCCGGATACCAGGTTTCGAGGCAAGTCTGTAGAGCCATCATTGGCATTAATATTATCATGCACGTAGCCAACAATCCGAGTCCTTGGAATATGGGTTGTCCCCACAGAATGTAAAACGTTCAATCCTTCTGGCTCCACCGCTTGACTCCATCACCGAAATGAGCCAAGAGTGATCGGAGAAGGTTCCAATTTTTTCGGAGATTCCGGCTGCACCACGATGTTATCATCATTATTATCATTATGCTCGCCAAACTTGTTAGAAATCAAATTTAATTATGAAAAAGTCAATAAAGACGGTTATAAAAATAAAGAAAATATATAAGTTGCATGGATACACAAATAACTACGTGGATAATAAAGTGATAGCAACTTGAATTACAAAGAATTGCTTAATTATTAAAATAAGTGAGAGCGAAAGAAAAATAAAGAAATTTGAGAGATAGGTTGTAAAGCTTAGCAAAACGTTAAATAGTGGGGTTGTATTTGTAAACTAGCAGTAGCTAGTATTGTAATATTGAGGTAGTGTCGTTGTAACGTATTTTGTTTCAATAAAAGTTCGAGAGTTATAAATTTCGAGTTATAAATTTCGAGTGTTCATCTACGTTTCCAACAAGTGGTATCAGAGCTTGGTTCAAGTTCAACGTGGTGGAGAATATGACCAACATGATTCAACCACAAATTCCGAGATTGACAAAGATAAATTATGGCAACTGGAGTATTTAAATGAAGGCGTTTCTAGGCTCCCAAGATTGTTGAGATATCATCGAGGATGGTTACACCGAGCCTGAAAATATAGCAGCAGAAGCAGTCTTGACCAATGAAGGCAATAAGGTATTGAATGAATCCCGAAAAAGAGATTAAAGAGCGTTGTTCTTTATTTTTCAAGGAGTATATGAATTTACCTTTGAAAAAAATTATGATGTGAAGACCGCAAAATAAGCGTGAAAGAGTTTGCAAAAATCTTAAGGTGTCAAAAAAGCAAAGAAGAATACATAGCCGCAGCAGCGTGCACTTGTCAAGAAATGAATAATCGCTTGGAGATGATAAGCGGAGAAAAGCTCGGAATATAAAATCAAGTTTGAGAGAAGTGTTAGAAATCAAACTTAATTATGAAAAAGTCAACAAAGACGGCAATAAAGCAAATGAAATATACAAGTTGCATGGATACACAAATAACCACGCGGATAATAAAGTGGTAGCAACTTTAATTGCAAAGAATTGCTTAATTATTAAGAGAAGCGAGAGAGAAAGAAAAATAGAGAGATTTGAGATATAGGTTGTGAAGCTTAATAAAGCTTTAAATAGCGGAGTTGTATTTGTAAACTAGCAGTAGCTAGTATTATAATATTGATGTAGTGTCGTTGTAACGTATTTTGTTTCAATAAAAAGTTCAAGAGTTATAAATTTCGAGTGTCTATCTACGCTTCCAACAAGTGGTATCAGAGCTTGGTTCGAGTTCAACGTGGTGAAGAAGATGACCAACATGATTCAACCATAAATTCCAAGATTGACAAAGACAAATTATGGCAACTAGAGCATTCAAATGAAGGTGTTGCTAGGCTCCCAAGATTGTTGAGATATCATCGAGGATGGTTACACCGAGCCTGAAAATGCAACAGCAGAAGCAGTCATGACCAATGAAGGCAATAAGATATTGAAGGAATCCTGGAAAAGAGATAAAAGAGCGTTATTCTTTATTTTTCAAGGAGTATACGAATCTACCTTTGAAAAAATTTATGATGTGAAGACCGCAAAATAAGTGTGGAAGAGTTTGCAAAAAACTTAAGGTGTCGAAAAAGCAAAGAAGAATACATAGCCGCAGCAATGTGCACTTGTCAAAAAATGAATAATCGCTTGGAGATGATAAGCGGAGAAAAGCTCGGAATGGAAAATCAAGTTTGGGGGAAGTGTTAGAAATCAAACTTAATTATGAAAAAGTCAAAAAAGACGACTATAAAGCAAAGGAAATATACAAGTTGCATGGATACGCAAATAACCACGTGGATAATAAAGTGGCAACAACTTGAATTGCAATGAATTGCTTAATTATTAAGATAAGTGAGAGCGAAAGAAAAATAGAGAGATTTGAGAGATAGGTTGTGAAGCTTAGCAAAGCTTTAAATAGTGGGGTTGTATTTGTAAACTAGCAGCAGTTAGTATTGTAATATTGAGGTAGTGTCGTTGTAGCGTATTTTGTTTCAATAAAAAGTTCGAGAGTTATAAATTCCGAGTGTCCATCTACGCTTCCAACAAACCTTTCTTCCAACCTCAACTGGAAGTTACCGTTACTGTAAACCAGTTCGAATTCCGGGATCACTTTGATATTGAAAATACGATTCTTCGATCTAACTTTGAATGTGCTGGAAATATCTAAAGGACTAGCAGCTCTTAGAATCATCTTTGCCATAGTTTAATCCTCAATATTCACTGAGGACCTGTCCAGATCAACGAAGACACCCATTTATTTCCTAATAACTCAAAAAAAATCTTTCTGCCAACAATGTAAGAGGACCTCCACAATCGAAACAGAATAGAATGCCATAGGGATACAGGCTTCGTTAAGGAGCGGTGCAACATATTCGAACTGCATTCGAATTGCTGATGTTTTTTTAGTTATCATTTCGAATTGCACGGGTCATTACCCCATTTAGCTAACTTGGCATTAATTCCATCATTTCGAATTGCATTCTGAACAAACTCCATATCAAACGATCTCTTCACCATATATACCGCTTAAGGAGGCATCTAACCAAGCTGAGTTATCATTCTGAGTTAAAATTGAAAATAAATTCAGATGTTTCATAGGAGGACTCCTCAATCAACTCATCTCGCTTCTCTTCTATAGCTGGTTTCAAAGGTTTGGGTTGCCCTAAGAGAACTTCACGGTATAACCTTGAATCTTTTGGTATATACATCTGACAGTTCATGTTCCTGTTAGTTTGAGTAGCACCCACTCTCCTTCCAATACCTCTAAACGTTCTAAGTGGTTCTCTATTGTTCCTCCTAGAAGAGCCAGGAAACTTGGCCTTCGAAACAGAAATGATACATCCATCCACTTTGGAGTTATTCAAGTGATCGATTGCCCTATCCAAATCCCCCAAGCAGGAAAATCGGTCAAAAGCAAACGTCGAATATTGATATCTAGCTCTTCTGTTAATATCAGGTATAAAGACTTTGGTAACTTTACCCTGCTGATTGAACAGATCCCATAAGGCGTTTCTAGTGACTCGACGACTCAGGTTATCGACGAACGCCGTCCATTCCTCACCAGAGGATGTGGAGACACCTCCCCTCCTCGTCTGACCACCTTGGTTGACGTTCGCTCAATCACATCTCATCGTGTGAAAGTTTCTCCACGTCCTAACAGACTTGCAAAAATTAAGTCTGCAGTTTATGACTTTCCTTTCAGGATTTTATCACGATCAGATTTTGGAAACAAGAACAAAGTATGTCAGTTGGTTTTTTGTGGTTAAAAATAAATCGGTGTTAAGAGAAATGAATAATTTGTGTTAAAAAATAAATTCAGGGACAATTGCGATTAACAAAACATTCAGGGACCAATGTAGAAAAAATAGTCAGATTCAGGACTAAATTAAACTTTATCCCAATACAAAAACACAAAAGGAAAAGAAACAGAGCTTTCACCTTCCCGGCGCAGCAAAGAACCTGGACTTTGCCTTCTGCAGGAGGTGACCAACTATTCGATGCCAAAGCATATGTGAAACCCTTAACCAGATAACAAAATCAAGAGAACAAGGAATAATTCTTTTCAAAGAAAACAAAAAAAGAAAATAATCAGTTCTGTATCGCGAATGTTTCAGTTATGTGTATATAAAACCAGCAAGTCTCGTAATTCATCATCAACGTATTGATCAAGAGATTTTAAAGCAAAAGCCATGGATTTGAAGCTCAATCCTGTTTACGAAGATTTCGAGGTTCACACTGAATGGGTTCATGAATCTGCAGACGACACTTTGATTGCTTATTTACCAGGTTTGTTCTTGATCCTATTTTTGGTGATTTAGACTAAAGCAATGAATTCAGATGATCCACGCATTAATCAATCAAGTGATGGATCGAAGGAAAGGTCGGAGAGATCTTCGTAAAAATTTAAAATCTCATATATATATATATATATTTATATTTTCTATTGATAATCTTTTTTTATTCTTTAAAATTTTATAAATTCTTCCTCTTATATGAAATCCAATGTCTGTCTCTCAATTTATCACCCCAAATACATATACATAATGCATGTGATTCATGCAACAGGGTTCGGGAAGGAGCAGCTTAAAGTTCAAGTAACAACTAGGGAGATCCTGAGGCTATCGGTAGAAAGACCAGTTGGTGATAACAAATTCAGCCGTTTTACCAAGGAGGTCCCCATTCCATCAAATTGTGACCAGAACAAAATCAGAGCAAATTACAAAGGTGGTATCCTTTATATTAAGTTCCCAAAACTGATCGTCCCGGTCGACGGGAATCCGAAAGACGCAAAACCATCGGCTGAAGACCCGATTTCAAACTCCGGTCGAAGGGTTGCAGATGTTCCAGAGAAACAAAACAATAGTGTAGAACGAGCACTTCAGAAAGATCCTCCCAAGGCTAAGGAGGCTGACAAAGTTTCAGAGCTAACACCAGGTAAACAAAAGGAAATCGCAGACAACAACAAAAGCAATGAATCTGATCCCAGGCTGATGGAAAAGGACACAAATAGTTCGGATCAAGAGGAAAAGAGTAGTTCAATAAGCGAAAAGCCTGTCGATTCTGGCCGAAATGCTGTTAAAAAAGCTGATATATATTGGCAGTTAGGGATCCATTATGAAAAAGTTATTGGGGGTTTAGCCAAGGGGATAAGGAATCCAAGGAAAGTTATGAACAGGGTTTTGGCTGTTCTGTTGGTCGTGGTGCTTGCAGTTTTTGTTAAGAATGCGATCATGTCTATGAGGATCTACTAGAACTAAGCTTTATGTGAAATTATGATTGTGTTGGAGACTCAATAAAATATACTGTTTATGAATTTAATTTATGTCTTAATTTGATATATTTTTATAGTAATGTGATATTTTTAAATTATTTATTATTTAGATTTTGTATTTGTATTGTTGATGTCAATATTTCAATCAATTTTATAAGAAATTGAAAAATATGATGTATACACTTTGGTAAAATAATCATTAAAATAATAATATTTATAATAAATTAAAAAATGATTATGGTATTCGCAGGGGCGGATGTATATGGTTTTGTTGGGGTTCAATTGCATACCCATTATTTTGGAAAAAAATATTAAATCTAGTTTAATATATTAAGAGAAATGAATAAAAAAATAAAGAAATTTGCATACCTATTTTTTTGAAAAATAAAATATTAGAATTTTAAACCCCTATATTTTAGTTTCTAAATCCGCCATTTGGTATTCGATTACACATAATTCAACGAGATATATAAGCTATAATAATTATTTAAACACCTCACAATAATTATACTAGATTGCATCAAAATTTATTTACATAATATATATATATAAGTTTTAAACATTTTAATTTATAAAAGTAAATATATAATATTTTTCAAATATTTTTGTATAAGAAGAATATAATATTTTTAAGATCAAATAATAAACATTTTGTTCAATTTTTTAAAATATATTAAATAAAAAAATCAAGTTAACTATGAAACATATCCAAATATAGGATGTCTTTGTTTTGAAAGGAAATATATTGTTTAATAAATATAGTATTAATAGAATTCAAAAATGGAAAATAAAGGTAAAGCGAGAAAATGCGTGCGGATTAGAGAGCATCAGATGCCTTAATTTGTGTTGGTGCCTTTGTATTTGCCCTTCCATCCGCATTTTTAATTATCTTCATTTAAAGATTTTATTCAACCTCGCAGCTCACACGCTCGCGAACGACTTCTTTCATCGAAACAAACAACGCTTGAAGAGAGAGACCATGGCCGATCAGCTTACGGACGACCAGATCTCTGAGTTCAAGGAGGCCTTTAGCCTCTTTGACAAGGATGGCGATGGTCCTTTCTCTCATCTCTCTCTCTCTCTTTATTATCTTCTTGATGCTTTTCGTTTTTTTAACTACGGTTTAATAACTTCGATTCAGCTCTGGTTCACAGATCTAAGAGTTGCTTTAATTTCTGATACTTAGCTTTAGCTTTAGTTTTTTCTTTCTTTCTTTAATTTTGCCATCGTTTTCTTTTGTGATTTGATTGATGTGACGGATCTAGGGCTCCGATTTATGAGTTTACGAACCTGCTCCATCTTATTTTTCATTTGTGTTCGTTGATTGTTTTGACACTTGATTTTTTATCGATTTAAATATCACTTCCGTTCTTTTTTCATATATTCTTTATTGATTGACCTTTATCGGTCGGCTCATTGATTTCAATTTTTTGATCTGTTAGAGTTAGATGTTTTATTTTCCGACATGGCATGGCTATATCGTCATTTTATTCTGTGAGTTCTTGTATAATATATGTCTAAGATTAGGATTTTCATTTTGCTGATTTGATTTTATATTTTTATTTAATCTTCGTTTAGTTTTGCATTTTTCTCTGTTTATTTTTTATTATGAGTAGCGAAGGTTCATTTGTTTTCGATTCACTCCCATTGAACCTGCATTTTCTACCTATATTGAAACATGGGATCACTAGTGGTTTTTAGAGATGCCTATCGGTCATAAAATCATTGACATAATTGTTTCATCAAGGAAAGCAGCTTTTATGTTTGTAGTAGGTTTGCATGATAGTTAAAAATCTAGAATCTAAATGTGTACGGCATTGCCATGTCCCAGAAGTTCGACACTCGTGGATTGTTTGGTTGGTTAAATTTTGTGATCTATAATGCTAAACATGAAATATTATGTTTGGTGCTTTTGCTTGAAGAATACCGCATAGTTGATGACCAGAATACATGTATGGGTTCTTATTTCTAACTTTTTGTGCTATTACATGTTTGCTATTATTATTACATGATCCATGGGTTATCAAGCATTTGATTGTTGAAGCTTGTACATTTGAAACTCATCAGACATTAGATTGTTGTTGCTCAATAAGTTTGACTAATGCACTGCTGCCTACATCCCAGTTAACTATCATAATCAATTGTTCTTATTTGATTTCGTGAAGTATTTTCGCATACGTTTATGGTGTTTAAAAGGTTTGAAAAATCATCAGCTACCTTTTAACTTAAAACATTATGGTGTCCTTTTTGTCTTCCTAGATTCGGGTTAATGTTTGCCTTCTTTTTTTCCCGGCAAGATGTATTTTCTAGTTTTGATTCATGATTGTTTCTCAACCAATATAGTATTCTTATTTGTTACATTTATTTGCATCCTTGATGCAGGTTGCATTACTACCAAGGAGCTGGGGACTGTGATGCGATCACTTGGCCAGAATCCTACCGAGGCAGAACTTCAAGATATGATTAATGAAGTTGATGCTGATGGAAATGGGACCATTGATTTTCCCGAATTCCTTAACCTAATGGCTAGGAAGATGAAGGATACTGATTCTGAGGAGGAGCTTAAAGAGGCTTTCAGGGTGTTTGACAAGGACCAGAATGGTTTCATATCTGCTGCTGAGCTTCGCCATGTTATGACAAATCTTGGTGAGAAGCTTACTGACGAGGAAGTTGATGAGATGATCCGTGAAGCTGATGTTGACGGTGATGGGCAGATCAACTATGAAGAGTTCGTCAAAGTTATGATGGCCAAGTAAGGACCTCTCCAATCATAACCAAGATCCAATAATGGGTAAAAAAAAGGGTTCAGGGCAGATAAGTTTGCTAAGATTTCTTTTTATATCTATATGACATCTATGTTTCTGTTACTTAACTTCTGTTGGTTTGCTGTCTGTTTCTTTGTTTGCATTATTTCGTGGACTGGACCTTAATATCCTCCTTGTTTGCTCTCTTTTTTTTAATTTATTTGTCCATGTCTGGGTTGTGTTTTATTCATCTTTTATAACTTGGTGTTTTCTTTCTATTCTCGTTGCCATGAAACCTAAAATCATTTGGAAAAGATTCGATGCTATTGCTTATTGTTGACTAACTTTTACCATATTACTAAAATACGAAGGAATTTGGTAGCAAGAAGGTTAAGGTCGCGACTGCTAGGGTTGGCCAAATTTCAATTATCTTTAACTTCTAAATAAATGAAATTTTTTGCAATTTTGGCCCTCCCAAAATTGATTTATTTTGTATAAGTCATTTTAATTTATATACTTTTTATTATTATTTTGCCCCGGTCTTCCCATTACAAGGTTACTAGTTTCGCCCTCTGAAGGAAAGGATGGAAAAGCCATAATTTATTCTCTATGCTTTCATTCAATGCTTCAAAATTTTGATTGGCATTTGATTTGATTTCGCCACTTTAATTTTTTCACCCATCAAAGACGGACGAGGTAATCTAGCCTTTACCATCAAGTTGGCGTAAGTGATAGGAAAGGACATAAACCAAATATATTGGCAGAGTCCAATTTTCATCATCTATAGTATATATTATTACGTCACAATACATTCATGTTTTTATACCTACACTTCAATTTCACATATTTTAAACTTCGAGTAATAGGAAATTAACATGAAATATTAGAAAATACATAGCGAATTGCTTTTCCACACCGTAATTTCACGAAAATGTATTAATTTAGATGAAATTATCGAGAAAAGAGGGGGGGACAATGATGAGAGCAAGTATTTGAAATTGACGAAAGTGAAAACGTGGAAATAAAATACAAATGAAGGGTAAAATCTAACACTAATAGTGGGTGATACGTACGAATCGGTATCCACATCAAAATGGATACTTTTTATTGATTGTATGTAATTTAAAACAAAATGGTTGTTACTATGTGATAAAAATCATTATTACTATGATATTTTGATATTTGCATTATATTATAATATATATTTTTATTATTTTGGACTAATATAAAAGTTAACTATTTTTTTATTTTTTTATTAAAAAGCAAGAAAATTATTATATTTAAATTCGTTAGAATATGATATACTATATTTTTTTTACAAATAAAAAACTTGAGATTTGATTGATTTTTTAATTTTGACAGAGAAAAAGAATGGTATGAATATAATTCTCATCATTATCACCCTCACCATCATCATCATCATCATCATGAAAAGAGTCCAAAGAAAAGGAGATTCAGATTACTTGGAGCTATGAGGGGACATAAGAAAAAGGAAGACGACAAGGCTGGCTTCCTCGCTCATGTAGGGCGCTGGAAAAAAAAAATTCCCCACATAGGGCTTTAATCAAATTATTTTTTAAATTGGGGTGTTTGCTACAGTAGCCACATTAGTCGTCAAGTGCTCCTTGCAACAAAGTCTCCTCTATTATAACAACTCTTCTTTCTTCCCTCGCTGTTGCAGCTCCATAGGTCGTCGTGTGCTCCTGGAGATCTATGATTGTTACTGTAGCAATCACCCTACTTAAGCAAATAATTGTTCGGCTGCACTATGTGAAGAATTTTTTTCTACTGCATTATTCAACCACTTTTGCCCGACAAGGCTCGTGGATGCGTTTTGCTATAAATTATTTTAATCTTTTTCTCATTAGTCTAAAATTGAAACGATTTTGATTTTTGAACAAAACGAGATGCTGATTCTTTTATACTTTTAATGCGAAGCTTGTCCCTATACTAATATTTATCATGAGAGAACAACAATGTATACTGGTTTAAGTTGATTGTCTACTATTCTTTTGTCGTTGTATTTGTATGATACGGATTGAAAATATCCTTTGATAAATACTTTTAATAATTATTTTATAATATAAATTTAAACACTCAATAACTAATTTGTTTAACTAAGTCGAGTTTTAAGACGTATGTTTTTAATTAAAAAGATTATTAATTGATTAACTTACAAATATGAGAGAATATAAATTTGAGAGCATAATATTTCTCTATTTATAAGAAATTAAAAAAGAATAAGTAAAATG